ACTTTGATTAATGAGTCAGAACAATTCGATACAGAAGCAAAGAACTATTTTATCCCCACAACGCTAACTCAATCCTCTAACCAATGTTCCTTTATATAGGCATCACAGGAACATCAGAAACGCATCTCAAGTCAATAGATAAACTGCGAACTTAAGGTAACAATGATATATGAAATCGCAAGATAAACAAATTACACAAAGTAAAGAAATTGACATAACAAACACGCAAGCACGCACACGCATTACAAATTGACACAAGAATTATTACAAACTCTACATAAGTATTCGTTCATTTAATTATCACAACCTCTCCCAAAAGCATGTGTAATCCAACATTTAGATCTAAAGCTTGATATTCCATGGTATATCCTAACTTATACCCTTGTCAACCAATATCAATATTCCTATAGCCGGTTATTCGTTAATCAAAAAGTGGTTTGAAAAAATACAAAAAGATCTAATACTATATGTTTCATAAACAAAGTATTTAGAACATTAAGAAAACATAGACAAAAGCTAAGAAAACACAAAATCCCAAACTTATTTTACCATATTAATATATAAAAAGAAAATGCATCCATTCTCCCACTTCGCCCAACAATATTGAAGTTAAAGTTAGCGCGGTACTACATAACTAATAGGCTGCAACTACTTTGTTTTATGCAAAATGGTTGATTGGTCGCCACCTATATCTTTATAATCATTCAAACACTTAAACTTCACATTTTCTAAAGGTAAGTAACTTAACAGAAAATATCATTTTATCTGGAAAAATATCGAAAACCAATTTTGATGCATACACTCTCACAATGCAAAACCTCACTAGTTTGAATTTGAAGTTTGAACATAGCAAAACAAATTACCTCTATTTTCCATCATAAATGTAAAGCAAAACCAAGTTCCAAACAAATCGTTATTCATATCGTAACTCGTTTTTTTTTTACTTAATCCAAAAGATTAGACACCGCAGTCCGTTTAAACGCGTCCACCTGCGCCAGCTGTCCCGCCAACGATTTAGTCGGGAAAATATTATCCGCTTTCATCCGTTCCCTAAACCCATACGCAGGCATCTTCGCATTTATATAAGTTTTCAAAAGCGAATGATACTGCCTCAACCTCGCCACATACCCATCTTGTCTCATTCTATGAAACATCTTCTCAGCATTATGCACATCTCCTTTCTTAGCATACTCATCCATAACCACCATATAACTATTAAAAAACGGCTTCACCCGATTTTGCTCTGAAGCCCTACGCAAAATCAAGTCAGCTTTTTCAATCTCACCCGCTTCAACATAAAGTTTGACCAACGCGTCCCAAGTCAACGGCCCGATCTGGCAACCGATCTCAGCCATCCGTTTCACAAGATCCTTCCCTTTCGATAACATTTTGTTATTCGCATAAACTTTTAACATCACCGCGTAATGTCTCGCGGAAATCCGTTTGTATCGGTTCGACATTTGGTCAAACACGGTTTCCGCTTGGTCAACTTTGTTTAGGGTTCCGTATGCGGTGATCGCGTATAAGCATTCGTTGAGCATCGGGTTTGACTCGCAGATTGACCAGATTCGGTTGACTTCCTCCAGGCTTCCGAGGGACGCGTAGAGTGGAAGTAAATACGCGCAAGCCGATCGGTTTTCTTTCAAATCGGATCCTTCCAGTTCTTTTAATACAGTTTTTGCTTTTTCTTTTAATCCAAAGTTTATATAATGTCGCGCTAAAATCGCGCGTATTTTGGGATCCGCGTCGATGTTGATGTCTTCGGCTTTCATTACCTCAAGGATTTGCTCGATTCCGGATATGTCGTTGCTTTGACCTTTGATGTCGAGTAACATTCGGTAAGTGAAAAGAGATGGTTTTACGTTTTCGTCCTCCATTAGCTTTAAGACATCGGGGATTTTTTTCTTGTTGGTTCTTTTGTATAGGAGGAGGAGTTGGTTGCAGACGAAGGGCGTTATCGGGAGTTTTAACTCCTTCATTTTGTTGAAGATTTGTTCGGATTTTGACGTGTTGGTGGATCGAACAGAGTTTGCTAGGAGAGTTCGGTAGAGAAGTTCGCCTTGAAAGGACTTTGGGATTCTTGAAATGTGGTTTTCTGCAGCTTGGAGACCGTTGACTTTGCTGATTAAGTCGATATGAGAAGAATAATCTTTTTCGTTGAATTCTAATTGTTTTCGGGTCTGTAACCATTCAGACAGCTGCAGGAGTAAGAAATAGGAATGTATTTCTGTTAATATTTGATAAGCTAAAACATATTTATTCAATCAGGTAAATTATTCAGAATGCAATCAATGTCTTAAAGAACCTGCAAAGCTTTGGCATACATCCTACGCCTGCGAAGCTCAAGCATGGCTATAGATACGTCTGATCGGGTTATACTGTCTCCTTTTTCAAGCCATTTATCAAGGGTCTTTTGAGCAGGTTGCATTGGGGAATCCATGAGAGCCTTGAAAATGGCTGAAGAAGCTCTTTTTTGTTGATGGGTTTTTGTAATTTCAGGAACTGATTCTTCCATGTCATTTTCAGAAAGTTCGGGTTCAGAGGTTGATTCATTATCACTTTCATCTTCATCATTGTTTCCTTCAAGCTCAGAAAATCCATCCTCCAATTCATCATCATCTTCTTCTCCACTGCTTTTTGTGCTAGCCATTGAAGAATAGGTGTGCTTTGAAGTGGCATTGGAATGTGTATTGGAAGAATATTTGATTAATATCTGGGATTCACATGTGTTTCTTGAAGGATTGGTGAATCTGGTTTTGTCCACGTAGGTAGAAAATGGTGTTTTGTGTTCAGGATACGATACACGAAAGGTGACTGCTGAAAACGTTTGTGACCTGGATGATAATTTGAATAAGTAACAGAAAAGATAAATAAGCTGCGTGAATGTGAATGAAAGAAACATGTGATCCAATTCATGTACAATACAATTTCAATATCTAAATGGGCACTAGCCTCTATGTACAAACTCGCTAATGAAAAGGGACATGGGAAACATAAGGTATATTAAGGATAAAAGTCAGTCGATAGAAGAGGAATTGGCTAACCTCGTTAACGACGTTAACCTATAGAAGAAGATTTATGTAAAATTTACAAATACTGAGAACAGGGCTGCGTCCATCGTTGCTATGACAGCATACCAAGCTTCTTATTGGTAGCCATTAAGAATAGTACAGACCAATATTTCCGGCGATGGCATACCCCTTTTTCCCGATTAAAAAAAATGGTGAGGGATTGCTAGAGCAACATAGAGACGTTTTGTTTAAAAGGATGCAACCGATTTACAACTGCTAAAAGCCAGTGGAATCGAGCTACTACTTTTGGAAGATCAATCATGGTAAGGCAACAGCCAGGTTATTTCTTCTATAATTTACGCAAATTTGGGAATTATGAAACAATAACAAGAAATATGCGTAGACATTTACAAGAAAGCAGAACATTACCTGAGAGCAATGGAGGAGGTTCGTCGAAGCGCCCACATAATGGCGTCTCGAGAAATGAAAACCAGAGAGATCAGAGGTGAAGAAAGGAACCCGCTTAAACCCCCTTTTGCTGTTAAACCCTAAAAACATATGGGACGAGACATAAACAATCCATAAACTTTGTATATGTTGTCAAATATTTTCCCTATTTTTTAGCATAACATCATAAGTAGTCCCTAAAGTTTTTCCTAAGGTTACCTCTATTCCCTTTGTTTTTCATGCTACGTATGGCTCGAGCTTGTGCCATTCTTTATTACTTCTCGTATGAGCAATAATGGGAGAGGTGAAAGTCAGCTCGTTCAAGTAATCAATCGATTTTTTTTGTTATATAGGAGAGGTAAATTGTAATGTTTTTAACATAAAAATTTGACATTTAAACTTGAACCTAGACCTTATTCTCTGGAATCTCACATTCTTGTTGCTAAGAATCGTTAAAGTAAAATTACTAACATCATATAAGCTATAGCCTAGTCAAGAAATTAGACCACTATGGACCCTATAAAATAAAGCCAAATGCACGTAAATAGATATTAGTCACATATTTTAGTGTAATTTTCATTCTCAACATTGTACCTTTTTATGAACTAAAGCAACACACAATGGTTTTTCATGAATTTCCACCTATTTTTGCAAAACTAAAGTTAGTACAACTTGTATAACTATCACATTGTGATATAATGTGATACAATACATAAATCAAAATGAAAAAAATGATATAATAGTTTAAATAAAAAAAACACATTCATACTTAGTTATTGTAATACTCGTGATAGGAATCTATTGTTTGAAGTGCGAAATTCTACAATGTATAAGGTTCAACTCCATGTGATAAGTTTGATATGGGACATCCAGAAAGTATAGTTTTTTTAATTGTATATAAAAAAATCACATATTATTCCAAAATCAGAATTCATCAAATGTATGATGATTCTGTGCCTAAGATTTGTATATTTGAAAGGAGCTATATATGCATTTTCTTATTCTTAATAATATTATGAATTATAATAAGTTTGTCGTTTAAGTCTTCATTATATTTCAGCTAAATGATATATATATATATATATATATATATATATATATATATATATATATATATATATATATATATATATATATATATATATATATATATATATATATATATATATATATATCAGACACATTATTAAATTAGTTGATATCGCTTTTTACGTTTTGTAAAAAAAAAATTTTATCTTAATTTTCTAGAAGTTTCAAAGTTCATGTTATAGATTAACTATATTGCTTGTGAAATTTATATTCAAATCGACCATCGTCCATTGTATCGATATTGAACAAAGATAATTTGATAATTTGATATTTTTAGAAAAGTATAAATATGAAAATTGTAAATAATGCTGTTAATATTTCTATATCAATTATTAAGTTAGACAAATGGGGTTGTGGGGCCAAGTGGAAAAGAAGGAAGATATGGGTGAGAGTGTAGTTCATGGATATAACCGAAGGAACGACTGTAGGGCCATTTCGTCTTATCTTCTTCCCGAAAAAATGAGACTCACAAACAACGACACAGGATATGAGTCGCAAACCAGACTACTCTTCTTCTTCTTCTTCTTCCTCTTCATTAGGCACAACCCCCGTCTCTCATCTTCATCTCCATATTCATCTTCACCGGCTTCTCCATGGCGGGTGGTGTTGCAACGGTGCAGCATAACCTCAAGATGCAGCCTTCTGTCTCACTCCTCCCCTCTTCTCAATCCTCCTTCTGTGGCACCAAATTCAACACCTCCGTTCAGGTACCCTTTTACCCTTGTGATGCATTGCTTAATTTTGAAAAGCAAAACACTTCTGATACGATTTCTACTGATTACCAGAGTTTTGGTGTAAAATTTATAGTATAATCATGATCAATCTCGAATTAGGAAAGCAATTACTTCGAAATTAGATGTCAAATTGAATCTCCCTTGTATTGCCATAAGGAAAGAAAAGAAACAAACACAGGAAATAGGGTTTCTGTATTTATGATTCTTTGTTTAATTTTGCATCTTAATGAATCCCCTTTGTGATGTATGTTTTCAGTATAAGAGGAAAGTATGTCAACCAAAAGGCGCTTTGAACGTAACAGCATCTGGTGCCAAAAAAATTCTTGTAATGGGAGGTACACGTTTCATCGGGATCTTTCTTTCCAGACTACTTGTTGAAGAAGGCCATCAGGTTCACTTTTCCTCATTTACCCTTCTCTCCTATGTTTGTTTGATTCATTTTCACATGAATAATCTTACAATTTCTCCATCGTCTCCATATTACAATGTACATAATGGCTCATAACTCCTTCTTTTATGAAATTTGGATAATCAATTTATACAGGTAACTCTGTTCACTAGAGGAAAAGCACCCATCACACAACCCTTACCTGGTGAAGCAGATGAGGCATACAATGCTTTCAAATCCAAGGTTTGTTTAGACTTTCTTATACTGTTTCTCATGTTTATACTTATGTTCTCAAGTAATAGTGGTATTTTTCATGATTTAGATATTACACTTGAAAGGTGATAGGAAGGACTTTGACTTTGTGAAGACTAGTCTTGCTGCTGAAGGCTTCGATGTTGTCTATGATATAAATGGTGCGTAGAATCATAAATTTCTTAATTTTCCATCTATAGCGCTATAAACGAAGGATTTAATATAATAAGCAAAAAAAAAAAAAAAAAAAAAAAATCTTTTTATTTTCTCAGGACGTGAGGCAGTCGAGGTGGAGCCTATATTAGATGCATTACCGAATCTAGAACAGTAAGTTATCAAAATAGGCATAAAATTAATCTTTTTTTATTTGTATTTTTTACTGTTTTACTATATCGCAGGTACATTTACTGCTCTTCAGCCGGTGTTTACCTTAAATCTGATCTTTTACCACATTGCGAGGTCAGTTTATCGACATTTTTCTATAATACAATCTAAAAGATACCTTTTCTTTATAATTATATATTAAATTTCTGTTCTTTTTTTGGCAATAGACCGATGCTGTTGACCCTAAAAGTCGACACAAGGGCAAACTTGAGACAGAGGCGTTATTGGAATCAAAGGGTGTTAATTACACTTCAATAAGACCCGTTTATATCTATGGGCCATTGAATTACAACCCTGTGGAAGAGTGGTTTTTCCATAGGTTGAAAGCAGGAAGACCAATCCCAATCCCTAACTCGGGTTTGCAAGTAACACAACTTGGTCATGTCAAGGTTAGTAACTTATCAATTATCAAAATACTTTATCACTTACGTCACTTTCATCCAATTTTAATCAAATTTACTTTTTGAAACGTGTCAACTTTTGAGTAAATGTAGGATCTTGCTACAGCTTTTATAAAGGTGTTGGGGAACCCAAAAGCAAGCAAGCAAGTGTACAACATATCAGGAGATAGATATGTTACTTTTGATGGACTCGCAAGAGCATGTGCTAAGGTAAATTAAATTTCCCTATAAATACGGAAATTATTTGTAATCTGAAATTTACAAAATAAAATTACAATTCACTCCTTGTAGGCTGGTGGATTCCCCGAGCCTGAACTCGTTCACTACAATCCCAAGGAATTTGATTTTGGAAAAAAGAAAGCATTTCCCTTCCGTGATCAGGTAAATACATTTGAGACGTGAAATTTGTGAAAATGAGGAAAGTGATATTTCATTTTCTTTGTTAAGTTGTGTTCTTTATGTATTAAGTAGTGACAATTTTTTGATGCAGCATTTCTTTGCGTCTGTGGAGAAGGCAAAGGTGGAGCTTGGAGTTGTACCCGAATATGGATTGGTGGAAGGCTTGAAAGACTCGTATGATCTGGATTTTGGTCGAGGGACGTTTAGGAAAGCAGCTGATTTTGAAACAGATGACATTATTCTTGGAAAGAGCCTTGTTTTAAGCTAAATATAAATATCATTTTCTCCCAATTCATTCATGATTATGGAGCATTCAATACACTACTTGTATAACAAAGTCCAGTTTGTTGATTTATATGAGAGATGTCCATTGTCTAAGAAATGGGAAATTGTTGTTGTGGCTATTGATAGTCGGGTTTTGGTACATTTCATCAAAACAAAAGCTTTGGATCCCGTGGAAAACAAAATTAAATAAATATATATTTTTTTGATTAACCAAATATATGCGATATAAATTGTCTACATCAGACTTTAGAGTTTGGAAATCAATATTAAACCTAGCTACAAAGAATAGTATTCTCAAATTGTAATATCCCGACTCCCAGGTATTTCTTTATTATTATTTATTATTGAGACTTCATGTGTGACTCGACGAGTTGTGAGCCTAACTCGTCGAGTTGAGTTTGATTAGAACATGTGTGTAACAGCCCAGATCCCTAGGTATCTTTACTTTCATATTTTTGATATTCTGTGAGAGGACTCTGCGAGTTGGAGGTCGAACTCGCCGAGTCGGGTCGCGGTTTTGGACGGAGGTTCGCGTCCGGACTCGGCGAGTCCAAGGGATGGACTCCGCGAGTCCGCGCTGTTTAATGAAACCCTAATTTCCCGGTCCTAAGCTCTATTTAAAGGACCTTATGGCCTTCATTTGCGGCCACCTTGAACCCTAAGTGCACCCATACGACTGAGAGACCTTGTGAGTGTGATAAGAGGCCATTTGTTCATCATTTTGTGTATTATTGCAAGAAAGGAGGGAGAAGATCAAGCTTGAAGAGTTGGGGAGCTTGGATCTGCTTCTATTTCATCAAGGGAACCTTCTTGAGGTAACTTTCAGAGCTAAACTTCGTATTTTGGGTTGATGTGTCAAATCTAGGGTTTCTTCTTGCCTTATTTGGCTTAAATTGGAAGTATGAAAGGTCCCATGGAGATATGGAACTTAGATCTGGACCTTAGCAGGTCCAGGAGGCCCCATATGACAAGCTTTATGTCCATTCTTTTGAGTTGGAAGCTAGGGTTGCCATATTAGAGGTTATTTCTCCAAAATGAGCCTTGTATACGTTGCATGGCGACCAAGACTGAGACTTTACGTGATAAATGAGCTTGGGAATGCCAGATCTATGTGTGTATGGAACGGATCTGACCGCAAAAGCCAGTTTTAGCTGATGCATGGCATGGACTCGCCGAGTCTGAAGAACAGACTCGACGAGTCGCTTGAAGATTATCCTTGAGACCACCCAGTGTGTAGTCCTGCCGAGTTGTGGGTGACTCAGTGAGTCACAGAGAGTTAGAAAGGTTTTGACAGGTGGACCGAGTCAAGTTGGGACTCGCCGAGTTGTCCTTGCGACTCGGCGAGTTGAGTCGCGGTGGCCCCGTGATTCAGGCCCAGGTGGAACTCGTCGAGTCAGGGGAGTACTCGACGAGTCAAAGGGAAAATCCTTGCGAGTTGGTTAAAACGCGTAGACTCGCCGAGTCCCTATAGTGCACTCACCGAGTCCGGTCAAATGGACCAAAGACTGTTGACCAAGTCTACCTGTGTTGACTTGATAAGGATGGTCAACCTTAGTGGTACAAGTAATAATTATAGATTTATGATGTCATAGGAGGATTACAGCTCGGGGGTTCGAGCACGAGTGATTCCAGGGTTCACGAATTAGTGAGACATACGAGGTGAGTCTTCTCACTATACTGTACCCGGAAGGATTTGACTGTGTGACCGGAAGGTCGAATATGATATGAGATATATGCCTTATGTGTGATAAGTTATTCGTTATATGTGCCATGTAGGATATGCTTGATTTGGGCCGGAAGGCAACATGTTACGGGCCGGAAGGCGTGGTCATATGGACCGTAAGGTTGACGTGGGTAGGACCGGAAGGTCTACCCAGTCGGGACGGAAGTCCCCTGAGACACATGGACCGGAAGGTCAAGGCCTGGAAAGGCGTACGTGCGTAGGTTGTATTTTGGGGAACTCACTAAGCATTTATGCTTACAGTTGTTGTGTTATGTGTTTCAGGTACGAGCGAGGACCGTGGGAAGGTGCCGGCGTGATCGTACACACACTCGGGGAACCATTTTGTGATCTTTTGTTATGTAATCGGTCTGACTAAATTATTACATTGGAACCTAAATTTATTACTCGATGTTTTGATGATTGTAAAAATGAAAAATTTTGGTTTCGGAATTTATGACGTTACAAGTTGGTATCAGAGCCTTGGTTTGAGGGATTCGGGTACACCTTCGGGCGTAACTGAACTCAAACCGGGGATTTGAGAAAATTTTAATTAATAAATCAATAAAAAAAATTTGATAAGTGATTTTGAGACAACCAAAGAAGAAAGAGTGTGTACGGTCAGCCAGCGCCCGAACGGTAAAATCCCCAAAATACTCTTACAATATGTGTTATGAGATATGATATGATATGATACGCATGCTAGTAGACTAGGTATACATATTAGGACTAGAGTGGCCTGATTTTGTGATGCCTTAGTCTAGGGAAACCTGCTTCTATGAGGTGCTTGAGAGCGAGTGGGTAACTAGTGTATGACAAGAATAGAGTACTCAGGATTCGGGGTTTGGGGAGGAGGACTTGGGGTGAATACCGACGCGGTGTAATTGGTAGTATTGGGCCCGTACTACCAAGGACACCGGGTCAGTGGGCAGCCCAAGTAAGAATCCCTGGGTATCGGAGACTGAGTAGGACTGCGTTATCGAGTGCGATTATGCCCGATAGAGTCTCTGATATTTTTATGTTGTATTTCAGAGACATCATGGTTGGACCACGACACAGACCTGGTACGAGTGGTGTGACTGACGAGGAGCTTCGTCAGATGATTCATGAGGAGGTAGCTGCAGTGATCCGGGCCGAGATTCCGGAGATGTTTGGGTCTATTAAGACCACGCTGATGGAGACATTTGATGAGCGGTACGCCGCGTTGACTGAGGCTGCCGCCGCTGCCAGACCACAGGGAGGTGACTCGTTGCTGTTCCAGGAGTTCAGTAACACGAAGCCACCAGAGTTTGACGGGACGCAGGATCCGATTGCTGCGATGAGATGGATTGCTGATATCGAGGGATGCTTCTATACTTGTTCATGTCCGGAGCATCTGAGGGTACGGTTCGCCTTGAACCAGCTCCACCTGGGAGCAAAGGATTGGTGGAAGTTTGTGACGGCGAACTTCACTCTGGCAGAGGTCCCAGCTGTGACTTGGGAGAGGTTTACTAATATGTTCAGAGACGAGTATGTTCCCCCGGTGGAGAGGGAACGGTTGGTTCAGGAGTTCTTGACCCTCAAGCAGGGTAATGATTCTGTTACGGTGATCACGCGGAAGTTTCATGAGAGGGCGATGTTCTGCCCCGAGCAGGTGTCCACGGAGCAGGCTCGGATGAGTCGGTATTTGGGAGTGCTGAGGAGGGATATCCGGGAGTTCGTATCGAACTCGTCATATCAGACTTTTACTGAGCTTCAGGCGAATGCCAGGAAGCGTGAGATCGAGTTGGAGACCCAGGCCAGGGAGGAGGCCGAGTCTCAACGGGTGGATCGGCGGCCGGCTCAGTCTCAGCCGGCAGCCAAGCGGATCAAGTCCGTCGATTCGAGATCCGGAGGTCAGAAGAGCCGCACTTGCGGAAAGTGCGGCAAGGGTCACGAGGGGGCATGTCGATCGGGTGCTTGCTACAAGTGTGGCAAGGAGGGGCACATTGCTAGAGATTGCCCCAAGGGATTCATGGTTTGCTTTCATTGCAACCAGACTGGCCATCGGAAGGCCGAGTGCCCCCAGCTTCGCCAGGGATCTACGCCTGCTGCCAGGGTTCCCGAGGTTCGGCCAGTGAAGGCCGAGGCTCCGAAGGCTCGTGGGAGAGCTTTCCAGTTGACTGCGGAGGAGGTCCGCGCGGCGCCTGATGTCGTGGCCGGTATGTATTCTTTCATGTATTTACATTTATACTGAGATATTGTGCTTATATTATTATATGCGTAGGTACTTTTCTTGTGAATCATGTGCCTGCTTTGGTATTATTCGACTCGGGTGCGAGTCGGTCTTTTGTTTCGTTGGCTTTTAGCCAGCACATCGTATCGATCGGGAGGTGATGAGTCGACCCCTGCGAGTTGCTATAGCAAATGAGAAAGCGGTATACGCCACTGAGGTGATTCGAGGATGCGTGCTCGAGATTTTTGGGGTCGAGTTTCCTATAGACTTGGTCCCTATAGCTATGGGGGATGTCTGCGTTATCGTGGGCATGGACTGGTTGAGTAAGTTTGGAGCAGTCATTGACTGCGAGAGACAGCTGGTGATGATTCGAGACCCTAGTGGGGGAGTGCTCACGGTTTATGGCGAGGGGACCCGGTGTGGGTCGGCGTTTTGTTCGGCTGCCAGGGCAAGGCAGAGTTTGCAGCAGGGCTGTGATGGATTCATAGCCTATGTGATGGATACTCGTGTGACCGCGGAGAGGCCCAATTCGATTGATGACGTTCCGGTTGTATGCGAGTTTTCGGATGTGTTCCCCGAAGAGTTACCGGGTGTGCCTCCGGAGAGGCAAGTGGAGTTTCGTATCGATTTGGTTCCGGGAGCGGCGCCCATCTCCAAGGCGCCTTATCGTCTCGCTCCGCCGGAAATGCAGGAATTATCCTCGCAGCTTCAGGAGCTGTTGGGAAAGGGATTCATTCGACCGAGTAGCTCGCCTTGGGGAGCGTCGATTTTGTTCGTCAAGAAAAAGGATGGTTCACACCGGATGTGTATCGATTATCGGGAGTTGAACAAGTTGACGGTTAAGAACCGATATCCGTTACCTAGGATCGACGATCTGTTCGATCAGTTGCAGGGGGCATCTTGGTTTTCCAAGATTGACTTGAGGTCGGGGTATCATCAGATGAGGGTTCGAGAGGAAGATATCCAAAAGACTGCTTTCAGGACTCGTTATGGACATTATGAGTTTGTGGTGATGCCTTTTGGGCTCACCAATGCCCCGGCCGCGTTCATGGATCTCATGAACCGGGTGTGCCGACCGATGCTGGATCGGTCGGTGATCGTATTCATCGATGATATTTTGGTGTATTCGAGGACTAGGGATCAGCATGAGGAACATTTGAGGGAGATTCTTGGGGTTTTGAGATCGGAGAGACTGTATGCCAAGTTCTCCAAGTGTGATTTCTGGTTACGAGAGGTCCAGTTCCTCGGGCATCTTGTTAACCAGAAAGGGATATTGGTCGACCCGGCCAAGATTGAGGCGGTGTTGAGGTGGGAGGTGCCGAGATCGCCCACCGAGATCAGGAGTTTTCTGGGTTTGGCTGGATATTATCGCAGGTTTATCAAGGATTTCTCCAAGATAGCTGTGCCACTTACTAGGATGACCCGGAAGGGTGTTACGTTTTCATGGGGACCGGAGCAGCAGTCCTCATTCGAGACGCTTCGTCAGAAATTGTGCGAGGCTCCAGTGCTTGCACTCCCGGAAGGGATGGAGGATTTTGTGGTATACTGTGATGCCTCTATATCGGGTTTGGGGGCGGTGCTTATGCAGAGGGGTCATGTGATAGCGTACGCTTCGAGACAGTTGAAGCCTCATGAGTCGAGATATCCCACGCACGACCTGGAATTGGGGGCGGTGGTGTTTGCCCTCAAGATCTGGCGACACTATTTGTATGGGGTTCGGTGTACGATATACACGGACCATAAGAGCTTGAAGTACTTGATGGATCAGCCAAATCTGAATATGCGACAGAGAAGGTGGTTGGATGTGGTGAAGGATTACGATTGTGAGATCCTGTACCACCCGGGCAAGGCTAATGTGGTAGCCGACGCGTTGAGCCGTAGGGCGGATAGCACCCCGATCCGAGATATTTGTATGAGATTGACGGTATTGACCCCGATTTTGGATATTATTCGAGGAGCTCAGGTGGAGGCTGCGAAGCCAGAACATCAGAAGAAGGAGCGGGTTGTAGGTCAGGTATCAAGATTTGTCACGGATGGTTGAGGGCTTATGACTTTTCAGGGTCGGATTTGGGTAACGTTTGTGGGCGGTGCGCGTACTATTTTGATGGAGGAAGCACATCGATCGAAATTCTCGATTCATCCCGGTGCTACGAAAATGTATTTGGATCTCAAGAAGGAGTACTGGTGGCCCTGTATGAAAAGGGATGTCGCTTGGTTTGTCGAGAGGTGCTTGACTTGTCGGCAGGTCAAGGCCGAGCACCAGCGACCGCACGGTAAGCTGCAACCGCTAGAGATTCCCGAATGGAAGTGGGAACAAATCACTATGGATTTCATCACCAAGTTACCGCGAACTGCGAGGGGAGTCGATGCGATTTGGGTGATCGTGGATCGGCTGACGAAGAGCGCTCATTTTCTAGCCATCAGCGAGAGCTCTTCTGCGGAGAAGTTGGCCGAGTTATATGTGAGGGAGGTAGTATCTCGGCATGGGGTGCCGATCTCGATTATTTCGGACCGTGACGTGCGTTTCACTTCCAGGTTCTGGAAGAAGTTTCATGAGGAGTTGGGTACTAGGTTACATTTCAGTACTGCATATCATCCCCAGACAGACGGTCAGAGTGAGCGGACGATTCAGACACTCGAGGACATGCTTCGGGCATGTGTGTTGGACTTCGGAGGAAGCTGGGACACCTATCTACCTTTAGCAGAGTTCTCGTATAACAACAACCATCATTCGAGCATTGGTATGCCACCCTTTGAGCTGTTGTATGGGCGGAGGTGTCGCACCCCCATCTGTTGGGGTGAGGTAGGATAGCAGGTTATGGATAGCACGGAGATCGTACTTCAGACAACCGAGCAAATTTAGCTGGTCAGGCAGAGGTTGTTGACCGCTCAGAGCCGACAGAAGAGTTATGCAGACAGACAACGGTCCGAGCTTGAGTTTCAAGTTGGTGATCTTGTACTCCTGAAGGTCTCTCCTTGGAAAGGAGTGATTCGGTTCAGGAAGAGGGGCAAGTTGGGGCCCCGATATATTGGTCCTTTCCGTGTGATCGCGAGGGTGGTTCGGGTAGCCTACCGTTTAGACTTGCCAGCAGAGTTGGGTCAGATTCACGACACTTTCCATGTGTCGCAATTGAGGAAGTGTATAGCCGACGAATCGGCGGTGGTTCCATTAGGGGATATTCAGGTGGATGCAAGCCTGAAGTATGCTGAAAGACCAGTGGCCATCAGAGATCGGAAGATCAAGGTTTTGAGGAACAAGGAGGTACCCCTGTTATTGGTTCAGTGGCAGCATCGGAAGGGATCAGAGATGACTTGGGAGCCGGAACGTGAGATGCGTGAGCAGCATCCGGAGCTATTTGCCTAGCGGGACTTCGAGGGCGAAGTCTTGTTCTAGTGGGGGAGAATTGTAACAGCCCGGATCCCCAGGTATCTTTACTTTCATATTTTTAATATTCTGTGAGGGGACTCGGCGAGTTGGAGGTCGAACTCGCCGAGTCGGGTCGCGGTTTTGGACGGAGGTTCGCGTCCGGACTCGGCGAGTCCAAGGGATGGACTCGGCGAGTCCGCGCTGTTTAATGAAACCCTAATTTCCCGGTCCTAAGCCCTATTTAAAGGATCTTATGGCCTTCATTTGCGGCCACCTTGAACCCTAAGTGCACCCATACGACTGAGAGACCTTGTGAGTGTGATAGAGGCCATTTGTTCATCATTTTGTGTATTATTGCAAGAAAGGAGGGAGAAGATCAAGCTTGAAGAGTTGGGGAGCTTGGATCTGCTTCTATTTCATCAAGGGAACCTTTCATGAGGTAACTTTCAAGCTAAACTTCATATTTTGGTTGATGTGTCAAATCTAGGGTTTCTTCTTGCCTTATTTGGCTTAAATTGGAAGTATGAAAGGTCCCATGGAGATATGGAACCTAGATCTGGACCTTAGCAGGTCCAGGAGGCCCCATATGACAAGGTTTATGTCCATTCTTTTGAGTTGGAAGCTAGGGTTGCCATATTAGAGGTTATTTCTCCAAAATGAGCCTTGTATGCGTTGCATGGCAACCAAGACTGAGACTTTACGTGATAAATGAGCTTGGGAAGGCCAGATCTATTTGTGTATGGAACGGATCTGACCGCAAAAGCCAGTTTTAGCTGATGCATGGCATGGACTCGCCGAGTCTGAAGAACAGACTCGACGAGTCGCTTGAAGATTGTCCTTGAGACCACCCAGTGTGTAGTCCTGCCGAGTTGTGGGTGACTCAGTGAGTCACAGTGAGTTAGAAAGGTTTTGACAGGTGGACCGAGTCAAGTTGGGACTCGCCGAGTTGTCCTTGCGACTCGGCGAGTTGAGTCGCGGTGGCCCCGTGATTCAGGCCCAGGTGGAACTCGTCGAGTCAGGGGAGTACTCGACAAGTCAAAGGGAAAATCCTTGCGAGTTGGTTAAAACGCGTAGACTCGCTGAGTCCCTATAGTGCACTCGCCGAGTCCGGTCAAATGGACCAGAGACTGTTGACCAAGTCTACCTGTGTTGACTTGATAAGGATGGTCAACCTTAGTGGTACAAGTAATAATTATAGATTTATGATGTCATAGGAGGATTACAGCTCGGGGGTTCGAGCACGAGTGATTCCAGGGTTCACGAATTAGCGAGACATACGAGGTGAGTCTTCTCACTATACTGTACCCGGAAGGGTTTGACTGTGTGACCGGAAGGTCGAATATGATATGAGATATATGCCTTATGTGTGATAAGTTATTCGTTATATGTGCCATGTATGATATGCTTGATTTGGGCCGGAAGGCAACATGTTACGGGCTGGAAGGCGTGGTCATATGGACCGTAAGGTTGACGTGGGTAGGACCGGAAGGTCTACCCAGTCGGGACGGAAGTCCCCTGAGACACATGGACCGGAAGGTCAAGGCCTGGAAATGCGTACGTGCGTAGGTTGTATTTTGGGGAACTCACTAAACATTTATGCTTACAGTTGTTGTGTTATGTGTTTCAGGTACGAGCGAGGACCGTGGAAGGCGCG